TCTTTTTAAAGCCCCGTACTTACTGCACTTATTTTTAGATTTCCTAGAGTAAATTGTTTATGATAGTGCGTTGATAGTAGTTGTAGCTTTTTTTTTTTTTTGTTCAATCTAAAGGTTCATCAATTGATGGACTTCCTACATTATTAGATTAATACAGTAAAATTAAAAATAAAATTATTATGCTACAATGTTTTAGGTCAAAATATACTGTTGGTACTCTTTATTTTTAATAATGTTAAAATGATACCTCCATGTTTTAATAAACCTTTTTTTAATACATTGAGGTTGATTTTTAAGACAAGTGCCCTTTTACGTACTTAATTTGTTAAAAAGTAAGCTTTACAAGACATATTAAAAATATTACAAAACCATAACGTAGAAAAAAAAAAAGAGAAATAAACTCAGATTTCATCATCTTCCTCCTCCATTCCTAAATCATATTCAAATGTAAAACTTCAAAACAAAAAAAAAAAAAGAAAAGAAAAGAAAGAAAGAAAGAAAGAAAGAAGACCTCACCCATCTTTATCATGCCCAAGCTCACCTCCATAAGGTTGCTGCAGGAAAAAAAGAAAGAAAAAAAAAAGTTTAATCAGATCTTGACCAAATATGAAAAAAAAAAAAAAAACAAGCAAAATGCAAATCAATAAGTCCCATTGATTCCTCCTATTTACTTTTTTAATATTTTAAATATATTTTGTAAAGCTTACTTTTAAGCAAATTTAGTAGAAGTGCACATTTTATATTTCATGTCCTAAAAATCAACCTCAAAATATCAAAAAATATTTTCTAAAATGTTTAGGTATCATTAATATTATTAAAATGATAGTATATATTAGCAACATGTTTCGATATAATACATGGTGTCAAGATGATTTTGCCCTTAAATATTTTAGTGTGTCTTAAACACATATATATCAACTAAACTGAGAGAGGAATAATTAAAATCAAAGTACTTTAGGACATTCTAACTAGACTTTTAAACTCTCTAGTGTCTAGGTAATATATTAGTTCCTGATGATACTCTTTAAAAATGGAGTGCGAAATGTAATTGATTGAGCATTTAAAACTTTTTAAAGATGTGATTTTCCTTGATAATTAATGCCTCTTAATTATAAGTATGGCTTCTCAACAAGAACCACATTTATGAGTCGAAGAAACTTACAAAAGATATAGCCAATATTTATGGTAATATTGGTAGAGCATCATATTAACATTATACCAAAGAAAAGCGGCTCTCATGACTATTCTTTATTTTGTGAAATTGGCATGCTTAATTAAGGAGCATTTAGATATTTAATTAATGAACTTATTTAGGAGAGGGATACTTAAAATTTCCTCTCGGCTTCTTGTAGTTTTGACTCCTCAAAAAAGATTTTCTTTTTCTTTTTCTAACTATGTTGTTACTATTTGTCCCCCCGTCAAATTTTCTAAATTGTAATATTGATGTAGAAATTTTTAAAAGATTTTCAGTCATGCCCTAGGTTTTGATTTTTAAGTGTCTTCGTATTTAAAACCTTTTTCTTAAATAAATTTTGGAAAGTGAATTGAAATTCATTACAAGATTAGTTCATTCCAAAAAAAAAAAAAAGAATAATATGGATAAAACAAATAAAACAGGGTTAAAAAATGAAAGACAGTTTTTAAAAAAAAAATATAATTACGTTGTAATTTTAATTCGAAATTTTTGTCTCAATATGCCCTGAAAAAATTCCTCACTCGGTCATACTTCTTTCTATTACGTTCTATGGCTTACAATTTGTATCCAACCACCAAACATGACTCATGGTTCAACTGTCAATATGTATTTTAAATCGTCCTCTTATTATCCAATTAATTTCTTTAAAAAAAATTAACCAGATTAATTTGAGAAGAATATGATGAAAGGTGGTGTTGTGATGCATGTAAATGCATCAAATTGACATGTAATTACTTTCATGTGTACCTTTATCTAAGACTTCATGAGATGTGGATGTAATAATATTCCTTTTATAATAAATAAAATCCCTTTATTAGAAGTATGGGTTCTCAACCAAATGTTTTTACTTCACAAAAACCATCACAAACCACATTTATAGAACGAAGATACGTAATATTCACTTGGATTATTGATTTTTGACAATAAAGAAAATATATAATAAATTATTTCTTTAAAAATATTCTTATTTTCTTGAAAAAAAAATCTTATGGTAAAGACCTTAATTGATTCCTAAACAAGCCTAACTTTTCTTTAATGCATATTTAATAATGAATAAAAACTTGCCAAAAATCTCATCCTACTTTTGTAGCCTCCTAATAACATTAAAACAAAAGAAATCGAGGCTCTAACTTGATATTTTACCGCGTTATCCACATGCTTAATTAAGACACATTTGGAACCTAAGAAACTTTTCTTTTTTGCTGAATTTTTTTCATCCTCATGTATCTAAATCTCTCTCTCTCTCTCTCTCTCTCTCTCTCTCTCATACACACACTCTCTCTCAAAGAACAAGAAAGAGTTTTTTTTTTTTTTTAAAAGTTTATAAGCAGTGTTAGTCCTATTTATCAATTTGGTCACTTTAGTCTCCAAACTTTGTTTGGTTGGCAGATTCCTTGAACTTTAATTTGTTTTGGTAGTTGTCATTAAAATTGATTAAGAATTTATAAAATTTAACAAAGATAATGATGTATCTATCGTATAGTAATTGAAAGTTTACAAAAGTTATAGTTACATTAAATATAAACTGTTCTAGTCGGTAAGTAGTTTAAGAACAGTGAAGAGAATATTTTAAATTTACCATAGCTATTTAAGTCAAACTTTAAGTTATTATGAGATATTTTTTTTTGGTAAAATAAGTTCATTATGAGATTGACAGGTTATAATTATCTCTATTAAATTTTAGAATCATAATTATCTCTATTAAATTTTAGAAAATTTTCATCAATTTTAATGTTAAGGACTAATTAAAACTACTAAAAATCAACGTTCATAATTAATCAACCAAGAAAGAAAAGCTTAAGAATCAAAATTATACTATACTCATAGTTTAATAACTAACGGTGCTAAAACCGACAGGAAAATCTCACTCTGGTTATAATATATAAATTTCAGGGAAGATCTGGGTGGTAATGTGAGGATCATTTTGAACTACTTCAGCTCCTTCATATAACAAAATTAATTTATATAATTTTACCTTTTCCAAGTTACATATAATATGAACTTATATATTTAAAGGATATTTCCAGTCATAAATAGATAAAATATATGTAGCATTTTTCTAGGTCATGTTTCGTTTTTCTTAATTAAACAAAATTCCATTTTGCCTATAGTTGTGGTGATCGCATGGATTTCTGGGGATTTCATATTAATGTCTTTTCTGTTCTCCTATTCTATTTTTCAACATTTCCATCTAAATCATGTGAATTCGTTAAATGACAACTACAAGAAACTGATAAATGGAAATTTAGTAAAACTTTAAATATTCATCAGGCTTTCCCTTCAACATAATGACATCTCCAACTCGAACGACATTTTTCATTGAAAACAATAACGGCCTAATTTTGTTGCTAATGTCATCATTCACCACAATGATATTATATACTAACGTCTATATCTCTATAGTGAAAAATCCTTGTGTTTAAACTAAAAAGTGAATCCCAAAAGAAAAGTGAAAAAATGTTAGCTACACACAAAACACACGCATCTTTAATATATGTTAGCATCACCAAATATATATGTATATATGGACTCGAAATTTATTACACAATCGATTTTTTTTATATTTTTTATTTTTTACCATGCACATGAAATTTTTGTGAGATGGAATCAATGGAGGCAAGAATCGTGGTACCCAAAACAAGCCAAAAAGATTAAAAGAAAAATAAATTAAACTAAATGCACGCCAATAAAGGATCAAAGAAAAATCCAAAGGAGAAGAAAAATACACGCATAAGTACAAAAGCAAAACCATTTTTTAAATTTATCTGGTTTCAGACATCCACACATACATACTAATTCTTTAACACTAATAGACAATAGTAAGCAAAACAAATAAGCAATACTCGCTTGCCATATTGTGGAATGATAAGATTGTTATTTTTCTTTGACAGGGTGTTGGATTCGAGTTATTCCCATCACCATTGATATTGGAGTTGTTCAATTGATTTTAATTCGCGGTTTTCATCCATTCCGTCGTTTATCAAATTGTTGAAACAAACATGGGTTTATCCATTCGGTTTCGATTAGTGCCACTCTGCTCTACTTCAATTTGAGCTTTTTTAAATACCCCTAACGGATATATAAGCAATTAGTGAAGAAGAATTCATATGTCAAGCGTAAATACGGTACTTATATGAGCATGTCATCTTGCTCTTTTTTAACTTTTTGATCTCAGACCTCGTCTATTTCGCAGATTTGAGTTTTTAATTCGAGTTGAGATGTGACATTTTCTGAGAGCTTTTCACTGTAACAGTAAAAATTAAATGTGACTTTTTCTGAGAATTTTTTACTGTAGAAACTTAAAATAAAAAACTCGAATCGGTGAAATAAACGAAATCTTAATTTATCAATTTAAATTTTTAATTGAGCTTACCGTACTTAAATTTTTAATTAAAATATAATTTTATTTAAAATTTTTTTATTGTAATAAAAAAAATAAATAATAACAACAAAAACAATAATAATAGTAAATTTAGAAAGGCAAAAGTGTAGAAAGAGAGAAGAGAAGGGGCAAAAATGGGAGAGAATAGATGAATATTTATATGGAAAAGGTTGGGGAACGGCGCTGTGTCTGTGCTTTCCCGATAAGCCCGGTGATTGCTCGAACGAGGAAGAAGATGAAAACTATACTCTCTTTCTTCTTTCTCTCTTAGCTAGCTAGGGCACTTTCATCTTCTTCTTTACTTCTCTCTCTCTCTCTCTCTTTCTCTCTCTAGAATATATATTACTGTCCCTCAAATTCCCCACACAACTCGGATTCTCTCTCTCTCTCTCTCTCTCTCATATATATATATATCTATAACCGCTGTCAAAATCACTTCCACTACTTCTTCCTTCAAGAGCCAGCGTTCTGGAAGTTCAATTAATTTCCGAAATCCATTTCCAAATTCTCAGCTGACGCAAGAAATTCGAGAATGATGGCGATTTGAGAATTATTCCTGAGAATTTGAAAATTTCTTCCTTGTTCCCTTAAAGAAACGAAATTTCATAAGTATTGGAGCTTCCAATTTGGTCGATTTTAAAAAAACTCTCCGATCTCATTTTCTCAGATGTATGATTACTGGAATTGCTGTAAAACTTAAGCTGAAAAATGAAAAGAAATTGTTTTGTTTGAAGTAGAATGTGAAATGAGAAGAAGGGAAAATTTTGAAAAATACTAGTAATATTTTTGTTTGGATTTGGTTGCAGCGTCGGAGCTGATCTCATGAAGCTTAGAAAGCGAAGCAGATCTGTGAAGAAATAATCCAGAATCGGCATTGGAAATTAAACAAAAAGGCAAAAAGAAATCACAGTCAACGGTTTTTGATGCTTCTGTAATAACCCCAGAGACTTTGACACCTGTCTACACCAAATCTAATTAACCCGAACGTTGTTCAAGGTTTGTTTTTCCATATTTTCAAATATATATAGATATATATATATATTTTCTAAATATTGTGTACATATATATAATGTGTTTTTGAGCTTGATGTTTCTGATAATGTGTCTGCCATTTTTAGGGACGAGACGACAGAGACAAAGGCTTTTAAGTAAAGCTCAAAAAAGAAGGTTGGCCCTCGCAAAATAGGCGGCTTTTGTATGAAAATTTACTGATTTCTTCTTCTTCATCTTCTTCTTGTTGTAGTTTAGCTTGAATCTGAAGCAGAAAAAGAGGGCTTTAGATCAAAGTTGTATAGGTATAGGGGTACACTGCTTTTACTTTAAATTTATTTCTATGTATATAAACCTTTTATCTTTCTTTAAAACAAGAACCCTTTTGTTGCCTTTTAGGCTTTAGCTAGCTCTGTGTTTAGGATTATAGAAAAAGAGATTACAAGCAAAGTCAGATCTTTAAATGTGTGGTTAGACTTAGAGCTAACAGTGTGCGTACGTATGATTTAGGCATCTGATGCTTTTATTACTCAACTGTTATTATGTATTTAATTTCTTGCCATTTTTGTTTGCTAATGTTCTGCTTTTGTTGGGTTTTCTTTTCTTTTCTTTTTTAATTTTAATTTTTTTTTGGGGTGCAGGTTTTCTCAGGCAGGCCTTTGCTTTAGTTTTGAAAGCACACACCGCTCTGCAGAACTGCAAAAAGCTTAAACGAGAGGCCTCCTGACTTGGACTGCGATATATCAAAGCGTAAAAAAAGGCCTTTTTATCAATACAAAAGCCAAAGTACTCTCTGAATTATCCTCATCAATGCAATAGGACATACAGCCAACCCCACCTGCACCACTCTCTCTAATCACACTCCTCTCTCCTCTCTCTTTCTCTCACTACTAATCCTAATCATAACAACTTTCTCTCTCCCTCTAGAACTTGGAAAAAAGAGATAAGAAAGCAAAACAAGAGAGAAAAGATCAAAACCCAGAAGGCGGTTTCGTTTTTGAATGAGTTGTAGTGTGAGAAAGGCATGAAAGTGCTATGGAGGTGGAGGAAATTCAAGCACAAGCGTGTAACAACAACAACAGTACAACGAAGTTCCCAAGGAACAAATTAGGCCAAAAGGGTGGTCATGACCACCACTACCCAGGCGACGAAGACGATTTGGGGGATCAAATCAAGAGGCCCAACACCGGACCCACCGCCATAGATGGCGGTAATCGCCTCCGGGGTTGGCACCATTCGTCGCGGATCATTAGGGTTTCTCGGGCCTCCGGCGGCAAGGATCGGCACAGCAAAGTGTGGACTTCAAAGGGGTTAAGAGACCGGCGGGTGAGGTTATCCGTCACTACGGCGATTCAGTTCTACGACCTCCAAGATCGGCTGGGCTATGACCAGCCCAGTAAGGCCGTGGAGTGGCTGATCAACGCCGCTTCCGACTCCATCGCCGAGCTCCCGTCTCTCAACAGCTCTTTCCCCGACACCCCCAAGCAGCTGAGCGACGAGAAGAGGCCGAGTGTTGGGAAAGAACAGGGTTTTGATTCTGCTGAGGTTGTTGAGTTGGAGTTGGATCAAGGTGAGGCCAACTATCAGCAGCAGAATCAGCAACATCTTTCTTTGTCCAAATCTGCTTGTAGTAGTACTTCTGAGACTAGCAAAGGCTCCGGTTTATCTCTCTCTCGCTCCGAGATCAGAGTTAACCGAGTCAAGGCGAGAGAAAGAGCTAGAGAGAGAGCAGCCAAAGATAAGGAGAAAGAGAACAGCGACTCTCGGATTCCTCCTCCTCCGCTTCATAACCACCACCACCACCATCATCATCAAAACATCAACCCCATTTCTCAAAGCCCTTCCTTTACTGAGCTTCTCACCGGTGGAATCAGCAATGTCAATACCAACAGCAACAACAACAATGATAGTTCCAGTCCCACTACTGCTTCTGATCAGCCGAATTTGTTCCACAAGGGTTCTACGGCTATGGCGACGGCGACGGCGACAGCGATGCAGATGGACTATTTCACGACGGGGCTTCTTGGGCTATCGTCTACGCGGAACCACCACCACCATCACTCTTCCGGGTTCGCCGGGCTTCCCATGGCGATGCCGATGCCACAGCCTTTCAGCGTTGTCTCTAGTGGCGGCGATGGCCACGCTGCCGCAGAGGCGCTGCCACCTCAGTTCTCGTTCGTTCCCGAGCAACTGATCGCTACGACATCGTCCCAACCCAATGGCAGTGGGGGTGACTACAGCCTCAACTTCTCAATCTCTTCTTCCGGCCTTGCTGGTTTCAATAGGGGGACCCTTCAGTCCAATTCATCACCGTCTTCTTTCTTGCCTCACCTCCAGAGGTTTGCTTCTCCTATAGACGGAACAACAAACGTGCCCTTCTTCATCGGAGCCGCCGCGGCCGCTTCGCCCATGGAGAATCACCACCACCACCACAACCACCATCAGTTCCCAGCTGGGTTTGATGGCCGCTTACAACTCTACTACGGCGACGGAGGCCGGCATTCGGATCAGAAAGGAAAGGGAAAGAACTGAAGCCATTGGCAGAGTAGATTCCTCTCTTTGCCCACCTTTCTGGTAAAACTTCCTCTGTTCTTCTCATTAGTACTATTCTATCTTTTTTTTTCCTTTTCAATTTTTGGTATATGTGTTTAAACTTTGTTTCATCACTGCTTTCTACTGCTGTGCTAGTTTGCTTGTTGTTTGGACATTTTCTTTTCCCTAATTCATGACATGGGGTTTGATTTCCGTCTCTTACGCTTAGAATTAATATAATATATATCTTTTTATGCACATTTATGGCCCTTTTGGATTTACGTGTTGTGCATACGACCATGAATGAAATGAAACCCCTTTGCTTTCTTGGTAATCTTAAAGAAGTATTGGGGCATATTTTTATGGTGTGTATTATATATAATATAATACATTATATATATATATATATATTAATATCTTCTTTTTGGATTCCTGCATGGATTGCTGTGATTAGGGGATCGGCTTGTTGTCTCCTTTTTTGTTCACTTCTTGGTTCCCTTCTCTCTAGCAATTGGACCATTCGTTTTAACATTTCGCCAGATGTTAACATCCGCGTGGTTGAGCCATTTGTTGGTTATGAGAGGAACAACCTCGCTTTAACCAAAAATATGTTCATTGAAAATCTGGCAATAGCTTTAGCTTGTCCACTGTCCCAAAAATCGTTTGTTTTTCCTGCTTTCTAAACTCACCACATGGCAAACGGATCGGCGCAGTGTCGAAAGTAGTTACCTGGGATTCCAGATTTTAGCTGTATTAGGTCAATCTCATGAAGGGCTCAATCTAAAAGCTCATAACAAAGCCCATGCACGTCATAGCAGACCTAGTATATACCTCTTCTTTCTGGCCTGAGGAAGTGGGCTATTGCAGCATTAGTGGCAACAGTATTCGTGTTCTTTGTCTCTTGGCGATAATGAAGAGAAAGTAGGAAAGTGAAAATTAGAGAAATAAATTTTCAGGGAAAAAAAATGCATAGGATTAGGACCAATAGCTTCCTTAAATTTGAACATTTATCGGACTTTGACCCTTATGTTCCACTGGTGGATCAGCTTTTTAGTTGTCTCTTTCTCTTAGAATTTTGTGCTTACCAAGTTAATAATATATATATGATAAAAACATAAATCTTTATACTCACCTCATTTAGAGGGCTGTACAATGAGTTGCCCTTCTGGTTCTGAGTTAGGAACCAAATCCCACATTCTCCTTGACGCTTGCTCTTCTCACCAAGTATTTTGTAATTGAAAAATCCCGCGTTCTCTCCATCCATTTAATTTCTTAATTCCTTGATTGTGTTATATTAAATTTTTATTGAAGGTCGCGATCGATACAAGGAGTACTCTAAGATTGAAATTGAAGTCCTTAGTGATGCACTTCATAGTACAGGAGCTAAAGCGGGATAAGGGATTAAATTAGTAAATTTAGGGTACAGTACTGTTTAATTCCTTAATAATATGATTAGAAAAGAATTTTTTAAAAGATCTGACGCATACATAAGTAACTTTATTATTTTTTAAATGGAATTGATAAGTATCTTTGTACATGATGGAATTAATAAAATTGAAGCGTACGGTAAGCAGTGATTAATTTAGGGCCGAATATTATCTAACTTTATTGGTAATGAAAATAGATAATAAATTCAAAACCACAAATCACAACTTTACAATTTATAGATAAGAACAACTTGAAACTAATGAGGTGCATGATGATCAATAGCAATGGGGCTTTAATATTCTTAAGTCATGAAATTGTAGGAAAGCTTTCTTCTTGTCAAAGGTTTAGGTTTATTGAAACTTAAAAAGATATAGTTGATTGTAGGACCTAGCAGTTGAACCCTAGATGTACATATGTTGTAGGGAACTATGATGGCAGACAAATAGGTAATATAATAAGTTGAAAAAGGTAGTATATGATGCATGCTATATTTATATCAATGTTTCTTATTAGTAGTTTATAAACAACTACAGATTATCATTTCGCTTTAAAAAATTTAAAAGTTGGGTAGATTAGACCTTTGCTTTTTCAACAAATTTTGGACTTTCCTATGTTAGCAATACATGTCTCCAATTTGCTCTAACAGATTTAAAACGTTAAACATGCTACATGTATTGTAGAACTTTATAAAAATACTGGCGTCCAATATAAATATGATTAAACATTGCTTGCCGCTATCAATACTTTACATTTGACATGTAAACCAAGATAGGGTCTTCCATGTTGATGTTGGAAGTTCACTTGTTACTCTTATTGTTATCAATCTTTCAATCATTAAAAACTTTGTCTCGAGTATTTCAAGCTTTAGTGGGGTTCCATAATGATCAACCGCTTTTCCAGAATACTTTAAGTAGCTTTAGTTTCAATCTCTTCAGCCAAAAAAGAAAAAAAAAAGTTAAATTTAAATCTCCTGTAAAGTTATGAAAAAATCTTCTAGAATCATTCGGGCGTCGACTTACCAAAACAACGTAGTTTAAGGCTCATTTCAAGCACTATCTCCTGCCTTATTTGGCTTTTCTTTTTTCTTCTTCTTACCAATTTTTGATTGATAATACTCTCTACGTTAACCATATTATATGGATATCTTTGTGTTCATTGTATTATATATATAAAATTCTCTTTTTTTGTTACTGGACTCTATTAGCTTGTATACGTAAAAGCTAATTATAACAAGGTAATAGTTGATTCCATAGAGAAGAAAGCCTATCGGTATGAAGCATTTGAAAATGCTCCTCTTAATATTAGCATGTGTTGAAGCACTTAAAATGCTACTGAATTTATAATAAACAGTTGGATTGGATTTCCGGTTGGTGATTGAACCATATATTAATGTGAACTTTTTCCTTCACTTGCATTGCCTATATCTCCAGACTTCCTTCCAACAAGAGTGCTGGACATTTTACAAATCTCTTTTCAAATGGCCGTATTTTCATAGATTACGGATAATTGATCCTACTAATCTTCACTATCATGCTGTATCGTCATCTTTTTCATGAATGTAACTGAAAGCCAGTTAACCTTGTGGTTCGGAAAGAGAATTAGAATAACAATCCACATTCCATGTCATTCTAGCTATCCTTTTAGCACTCCAAGGACACCTTCAAACGATACTCTTTTAGAGTCCAGAAAAGAACATTAAAGTCTCAGTTTGCAAAAGACGATGAATCAGTTGGAGAACGTCCTAGCTTTTTAACTGCTTGGTAGTATCTGAATCTGGTCTCACTAAAACAATTCATGACATCTTCACCATTCATGGTAGTTTCCGACCACTCTCCCAATTGCTTAATGTAAAAAAAAAAAAAAATCAACTTAACAATATGGTGAACCTTAGCTAGTCCACGAATGTTGAGCTAAATTTACCTGTCTATATGTGTCGTGTTTTTTTTTTTATGACAAACCTCTGAAAGTATTGTCTGAAAGTCTGAAACTATAAATTCGAGTTTCTTAGCCTAATTTACAGGGCTTGACAATCTCCCTTACCGAGTCTCTAGAACCTTATTCTAATTAGTCCACATTTTAACCACTTACTTGATTCCACTCCACTATTGTAATTTTGGCTTGTTGTCAGTTTTACAGGGAACAATTCTTGTTGAACCGCCCCCTATAGTCTTATGGGCAGTAGTTTTAGCGAAAAAGAAACAATGCCAAAATTGTATACAGGTTAAATGCAATGGATAGGAGCCCTGATATCACTTGTTATGTCGCAGGGCCTCTCAAAACTCTTAGATGTTAGTATGTTCGCTATTAACCTCCAACCAAGCACGCACGAACTCTATATGCCATGTTTTGTCGATTATCTACACAATGATTTTGTGCATTGCAGCCACAGGTAACACTACTAGAATCCATGGAAGTATGTCTTGAGTCTCACGTAGGTGATGGCCTTATAGAGAGTTAGAATCATTATAGTTTCATTAGAATTGATTTCATATGGACAGATTACGTCTTCGATCATTCCTCAAATATCAATCATTTACTTATTGCGTTACAAATTTGGTTTTAAAACTCTATACACAGTTACACACACATAGGTTACTGTTTATTGTTGTTGTTGCGATGGTGGTGCTCTTACTAAAACCCTCACAAAGGTTGCATGAAAACTTGATTTTGCCAGATTTATTGGTTTAGTAAGACCTCTTGTGTTATCGATAACAGATTAATATCTTGGATGGAGAGGGGAAAAAAAAACTAAAGAAAAATCGAACATCGCATAAATCACATCATAATCCTAAGAAGGAATGCTTGTATTTATCACAGTGATGATAAAGCTGATTTTCTGTATAGTAAAAAAGAAGAGGCTGATTAGTTCTTGACAAGGATTTTGGTGCTATAACACAATTTAATGTTTTGATCTAATCACGCATGAATCTTCTCGACGTACATAGAGGAAAATGATGACATCCTCTAATTCTCTTTGTTTCTACTAAGTTTGAGAGACTGGTCCTGGCGATATTAATTGACTGGTATTAACTAGAACATGCTAGCTGAAAGTATAAAGATTTGTTCATGCCAGATTAATATGCTAGTTTACAAATTAGAACATCTTGTGAAGATGCTGTTGTGGAATCAGTACAACATTTGTAGTTGAAATTATTTTGTCCATGCTCCATATGGATTTTAGATCTCATAAATAACCTGAGGTTGAGCCCCCTTGCCTGTGCTCTTGCCTACGAACAACTATGTAGATTACGAGCTTGCGGTCGACCGAGCTGGTGGAAAGAACTAAAAAAATCTCAGTACTGCGTGGATAATTTGTTTTCCTCAAATCATTTCTGTAGTCATGTCCAGTTAAAGACTGTCCTTTATCCCCATTAAAAGTTTAGGAGAGTTTGTGGCCTGGTTCTCCTGAACTCATTATTGCCAAAGTAAATGAAACAAGTTTGATCGCGTTCAATTTTCTGAAACAAAATTTAAGATATTTTTCCTTCCTAATTTGACTTTTTGTAAGATCTAAGAAAATCACCTGTCTTTGAAACTTGACCTTTTCAGTTCACCTAGGTAGGCATACGCTACATCTCATGGACTCGTGAGATGCTAAAGGCGTCAGTCGCTCTTTTTAGTACTAAATATCAATCATTACTGTTTATCAATGGATGCTGCTTTTGAACTTGATTTTAGTTCCCTTCTAAACCTGTCTTTGGTCAAACCAAGTGCTTCTGTTCATAAAACTAGTGTGGTGGATAGTTGTTACAATATCCACTGATCATACTCCAATCAAACATATGATTCAGTATTTACATGTTCGATTTTACATAAAGATCATTCAAACATTTGTATTTTTCCCCCCCTCAACTATCACTTTATTTAAAAAAATGTATACTTTGTGTAGCGAGCAGAAGTTATGGTCTGGAGACTATAAGATGTGTTGGTGTTGTGTGCATTCATTGTACTTTTGTCATGTTACATAATAAGTAGTTTGCTTCAAAGCACCAATGTCTATTAGGCAAATCTTCTTTGATGCAAAATTAGGCATTCTTACTGCAAGATAATGTTGTATGTCTATCTGGAATATGATTCTATATATGCTGTTTAGAAATTAAAATGATCGAATAAAAAGAAAGTTAAAAGCTATGAATATTAATGTCAAAAGTAATGTTTTCTTTGCAGGAAAGTGAAGATAAAGAAGTGGTGGAAATGCTGTGAGTGAAAGCCTACTTCCCTTCATCGGATGATTCCTTATTATTAATGCTTCTAATACTGTTGCTATTTCTACACTATCCATTTTGAAGTCAATTCAGCTTCCATTCATATAATTCGGATATATGTATCTATGTAAGTGTGCCATGGTCTGTTTTGATGAAAATTTAACTGACAATTCCCATTAAAAGTTATTCTTTTTCCTTTCCAAAAAAAAAAAAAAATGTTTGTACAATTTCTCAAGTGAAAAGCAGCCGGCTGCTCCGTGATTGAATCTTCACGCGGAATCTCCCAGTTTCAGGAACACACGCTTCAATTGTTTTCCTTTCCTAAAGAGTGGAAGAAGTATGTTGTTTTTTTTTCAAGTGACAAGCAGCCAAGAATAGATTGTTTTTTTTTTTTTTTTTTCAGCTTTGGAGTCTGCGCATCTGAACCTAATCGTCGTGTTTAGAATTAATCTCATTTTTATTTTTTAGATATTTTAAAAAAGAAAAAGAAAAATATTTTTAAAACGAAGTTTGGTGTAATAAAGGCAAAAAACATAAATAAAAATAATTTTTTAGCTTAGTGTAAAATGAAATGAAAGAAATAAAAAATAATTTTTTATTATTTATTTTTGTTTTATCATTTCTCAAAGAGAGGAATAGAGATATTAATAAATTTTTTTATATTGAATATATTTTTTTGATAAAATTATCAAATGTATTTTTAAAAATAATTTATGTTTGAGATTAAAAACGTTTTCATTTTCATACAAAAATAAAAATTATTTTAAAATAAGTTTAAAACGCACTGAATATGTTTCAGTTTTAGAAAACCACAAAACAAAGTTGTTGTAACATGTGCAGTTTTTAGTACATACATTTATTAAAGGGGTGGTGTCTTTGTTGTCCAAGATGGCCATATTATTAGGATCACAGGTTGTCATCAAAAGAGACTACAGTAAGTTTGTTATTGAGTCCCTTTTATGGCCAAGATCATTCAATACCTTTGAGTCGGTTTTTTTTTTTCTTTTTTTTTTTGCATAAATTTGTGAATTCTAGATTTATTAGATTTAAGTCTCGTTCAGTTCGTGAATTTGAGTTTTCAATTCGAATTGAAATGTAATTTTATGTGAGCTTTTTACTGTAATAGAAAAAATTAAATGTGCTTTTTATAAGAACTTTTAACTGTAATAAAATTAAAATTAAAAATTTAAATCGGTAAAATAAATAAAATGAACTAAGTTTGAAATGTGGTACTAGATTTAGATGTGTTTTTCTGACTTTAAGTGTAACATGACTTTGAGCAGTAGTACAGCACGTACAAAAAGGGCAAATCAACAAAAGTGATTTTCCCTCTCTTTTCAGAGCACCATCAAAAGTAACGTTTACTTTTACAACTGATTCTAAAGTTGGGTAAACAATGCCTAAATTGTTTCCTTTTAATGCAGAAATGTATGCGATATAGAAACGTTAAAAATGGGCCATGCATGCATTTCCATATTCTTCTTTTTGAGGGTCATACATCTCCACAATTGCCAATGCCAAAGAAAAGGGTGATGATAAAAGAGACCTCTTAGTACAACTGCATAACAGTAACAATAGTAAGATAGAGGAGTTGTCTTAAATTTGGTACCTGAACAAGTCTAAAAAATATATTTTATATATATTTTTACGTAACGTCACGTCGTTTGTGCATGTGTGTAACACTCATTTTAATTTAGTATACTATTAATAAATAGTCCAATAAATATAACATTAAGTACTACACTCAACAAATTAAGAATTACACACACATATAAAAGATATTACTAGGAAATACAAAAAAAAAGTTACATTTATTAGACTGAAGGGCCTCGAGACATAAGTCTTTGCCCAAGATAATAAAATGATGGCGAAGAGTGAAAGGGTTTCAACCAACCTGAAAGGTATGCTTACAATAATTAATTGTTTTAAAAAAAATTGCTCATAATAATTGGGGCTGAAGGATTATATACTTCCAGCTGTCAGTGGGTTGTTTGATGTCTTTGTTCAGGTATTACTTAACAATGGAACTGGAACATGTAATGACATCACTGAATTTCAACCGAAAAAAATCAGCTGGATTTCAACGGTGAAATTAAGAGTAATAACAGAATTCAATTTGCGGCCAAAATAGGACCACCTAATGAGCTCTCAGTTGTTGAAGTTCATAGTTGGGTTCCATCTTTTAGATTTGAGTGACAACCAATCAATACGACGATTACTTGTCCAAAAATCAAGACAGTATTTGTGGACCAAAGCAAAAAACAATTGTTTCACTTTCAAATATAAGGTCAAAAGTATGAATTTTCAATATATAACAAGACTAAAATATTGTATGGTAATCTTGTTGCTAAGAATGTTCTATACTAATTTATTCCTTCACCATCACTAATATTGCCCACAAAAAGCAAACCATATTGAGGGTTTCTTTTTTAGTTTTTGTTCAATAGGATAAGAGGTAAACAAAAAAGAAAAGGCTTCTTTTGTGCCTTTGCACCCTCGTGCTTGGCTAATTGTCCTATAAACTTTTGGTTTTTACCATTAATTGTCTAACCTTCACAAGTCCAAATTTGATAACAGTTGTTCAAATTGGTGCAAAAAAGAGGGTTAATTGGCAAAATAAAAAGTTCCAATGCAATTTAAGGTAAAATGCGGAAAATGTAAGTTGCACATGGATATTTACATACCACTAATTTAAACGGCATTATCAATGAGCATCAAAAGGGAGCTGTATGATAAGTTTAGGGAGTTAATTGTTAAAATCTAAAATTTAAGAGGTCATTTTGTTAAAATGAGAAATGTAAGAGGAATGGTGCCAAAAAACCATAAATAACAAGGTCAATTATTTTACTAAAATATTTATAAAAAAAAAAAGCAAGGAAATAGAGAAATAAAAGTGGCGCAAGTGTAAAGCTTGAGGGGATATAAAGAACTCTTTTAGTAAGTGCGTAAACCTGTGAGAATGTGTGCACGCTAGAATTCACGTGTACTGTGACTTAAGAGCATGCAAAGGCTAAGGTATCTCATGTGACAAACAGATAAAAGGCAGAAAGTAGACCCAGCTAATCAGTCAAATAAACAATGAAAACTACATAATAAAATTTCTTCTAAAGAGAAATATGGAATAGAAAGGGAGATCTGGAACCAGCTCTTAAATAAAAACTCTTTAATGAATAGACAAATAAACAAACAAAATAATTTCCCTCTCTCTCTCACTCTCTCTCTCTCACATGTGTAGAATTACTAGTTCCTTCTAGAACTAGTGGACGTGAGTAATGGTGGGGGAGAGAATATCTCAAACCACTAACTCCAAACTATGTTTTCTTTCAATCAAATCAGTTAAACCTAATTCAAAATCCCTTAAGGCTTGTTCATTTGCACCCAAATTTTAAAATAAATTAAAATTAAAATTAAAACTTTATTCAAATTTACGTTTTTTTATAAAATTAACAGTCATGCCCCCTTCTAACTTTCTAATTTGCCCTTATAAAGCTTGAAGTTGAAAACTAAACAGGTCACATTGTGAAAAGAAAAGTCGGATGAAATGGATCAAAGCAATCTTTTTTCAGCTAGAGACACAGAATATCAGAGGACAAAAGGTGTTGGTCCATACCCCAAATGATATAATATGCTTTTTGTCATGTTGAATGCGATCACAGGAACTAGTTTATTCAACTACCATCCACACATTTTAGGACAAACATTGATTTTACGCAAAAGAAAGTGTAGGAAACTGTTGCTCTACATCCCGTACAGAGTGATGATTGTGTCTACAACTTGCACATTTGGTAAGCTAACTGCTGCTTCTAGGATTAATAGGCACTCATTTTGCTAATTAAACTTTGGCTCTAATCGGGTAATAAATTGCATATATGGTTTGGTTAGATCACCACAAAGCAGGTTGAAATTGCACCTAATTAAGTTGAATTACCATAAAGACTTGGTTGTAAAGCATTTTCTGTAACTGATCTTTTTTTTTTTTTTAAATATTCTTTCCCATACAGACTTAGGGAAGTAATAATTGTTCTCTTAGCTAATCCGACTTGGCATTCAGTTTACCTCTAGCTAGAACCTTACATTTTCCAACAGAATCTCCTTTGGAGTTCTCTAACATGGCCGTACTTGTGCTAGTGCCATTTCTGTGATCCTTCCTATTGATTTTATTTAGGGCATTTTCACCGCTTTTTGGGTTTAAAGTGGTAATTTTCGGTTAAAGTCCTTGTCTTTTCTATTTAAACAAAAAAAAAAAAAAAGAAGAAAAAAAAGGATAACACACCAACTTTGGTCCTGATATTACCCTTAAATTGCAGGCTAGGGATTTAGAGAGAGAAAGCGATAGGATACCAAATGAAGCTTCATGCATTTGCCAACTCCACTGTTGAAATGAACTTAACATATATCACATAAGCATAGCATAGTCATACCTACAATTAATATTTCACATACAAGAGAATTTTATAATAGATAGAAGTAGGTGACTACAAACTTCAAGCTCTTACAAAGATCAACCTAGCGGAGTGTATTATGAAGTGTGAACTCTTACAAGCATATGCCTGAAATAAAAACAACCAGCAGATGCATTTCATGATTTCCAACTCTCTCTCTATCCCTCTGTTCAAGCAACTAATGGCCAACAATTTTTGCAGCGCACAATCAACAGGAGCTACCTTCTTCCAGGGCAGTCCCAATCAACATTTTATCTTCACGTGGCACAAAGACAAAATTGTTCTGCGGTTTCTCCCTTCTCCCGTTTCAGAAATCACGCCCCTTATCCCCTCTTCTCCTTCCAAGGAATTGTGCATTGCCTGACAATCCCATCCAAACTCAAGTAAGCGACCAATTATACACACAAGAGCATCTGCATGCATCGACTATTGTAATAGAAATAGGCACCCACAAACAGTGTTAACCCCAAATTTCATCGTTTTCACGATATTGAAAGTCCACAAGTTTAAACCATACAATTTGTATTCATATGCATTATTCATTTATTTGTGATCCGTAACACTCCAATTCATATGTAAATTATGAAAATACAATTCCCGGTTCTTCCTCACAAGTTAAAAGACTGCCAATAGCCACTTTCAAGTTTCATGGATGGCACGAAATCTAAAAAACAGTGAAACTAATAGTAAATCATGACTAACTCCAGATTGTGCAAACCCAATAATCAATCACAGGATTTAAGCAAACACATATTCCAACAAATATGAATCATAATCAAAGTTGCAAAATTACCTCAAAGATTACACGATTTCCTCACATCAGAAGGAGTTCATCTCCAGGCAGTACGTACGCCTCTTCACCAGCATCTTCGCAGCAGTCCCAAAGGGCTCTTCGAACGCCGTCGAAACCCAAGACCCATCGGAGACCTCCTTCTTCGCCGCCGACTGCTCGCTGGGCCGAATCGCAACCAACGTCGCGCCCTTCAAAACGACGCCGTCCGGCAACTCCAAGTGAGGAGCGTACCAGAGCCTCATGTTGAGAGCGGGCACGAGCGTCCTCTTCGACGCTGAAGACGCGGACAACGGCTTCACCCTCAACTCCTCAAGCTGATCCCTGTTCATGCAAAGTACCCCCTGCCCATCCGCGTCGGTCAGGACCAAATTGTCCAACGTCTTGTGCTCGGAGATTATTGGCTGGAGCAGATAATGCCTTGCCGAGGCTGCAATCAGCGAGCTAATCGTCCAAACCACTCTCAATTTCAGACCTCCATTTGTGTAGAACGAATCAGGGATGCTCCCATTGTCCTCGCCGCCGCCGACATTGCCGTTGGCGTAACAGAACGCTTCCGCGCCATTGCTCTGCTCAATTGATGACAATTTCGCCGGTGGCCCGGGGTAAACTACCGAGGAGGCGCCGAGAATCAAGCAATTGTCGAGAGTGGAGCCGAAATCGGCTCTCCATTTCAACAAAACACCATCGTCTATCCCCAATTCGCCGCTGGGAAGCTCGATCCTAAGGAATCGAATCTCGTTAAAGTTCTTCAAGACCTGCGTCGGCGAGTGGTGAGTCACGCCTCCCTGATCAAACTCACCGTCGGCCTCGCTCCCGACGGCAAGCGACGACGAGCCGAAACCGCCGCCGAAACCAGAAGAAGACGAGGAAGAAGAAGAAGAAGACGACGAAAACGAAGAGGAGCCTCTTTTCGGAGTTAGAAACTGGCCAAGGGCTTGGAGAGGCTTGACAATGCCGCCGACTACTAACCGGAATAGATTGGAGAAGGAACCGCGGGACTTGTCGGAGGAGGAGGAAGAGGAGGCTGAGTCGTCGTCGGAGATGACGCAGTCGACACGGACGACGACGTTCTCGACCTGAGGGACGAGCGCGTGGAATCTACGCGAGACAACGCAGCAGCGGCCAAGCGCCTTGACGTCGCCGATCTTGTTGAAAACGAGGAGGAGCAGAGAGTCCGGGAGCCGATCGAAGTGGTCGATTTCCATGGCGTCCGGCTCCGGGTAAACCCTAGAGGTCAGATCTACGCGCATGGAAGACATTTTCGCAAACTCAAACACAAAATTCGAATAGTTGAGGAACAGAGAAAAGGCAGAAGCTCAGATCGACTGAACCGAAGAGAGAGAAAGAGAGAGAAACCTAGTGAGAGAGGTGATAGATCTGAGAGGCTTGATATGGCATGGCTTTTTCTTGCTTTGCTGAGGTGTTTGCTTGCAGGGAAAGTGAGAGAGAAAACCCTAGAGAGAGAATTTTCTTTTCTGCGAAGCGAGAAGATTATACTTTCCGGCAGCCCAAGAAAATTATAGAAGTGAGTGGAGAGAGAAATGTTAAGGAAGGAAAGCTTAGCGATGTAGAGAGAGAAACAGAGGAGAGAGAAAATGGGAAGGGAAAG